TGAGAGACTTAAGTTGAATCTTGATACCAATTGGAGTTACCTAATTGGTACTAGGATTTAACTTAAGTCTCACATATGATGGAGGTCTTATGTTCGAATCCTAAGGGACGTGTCAGAAAGTCGTGAGGGGTAAGATGGGTCTGAACTCTCCCAAAGCAGACAGTACGTACGATATGATGACGATTCCAGCGCAAGGTCGGGTCGTTACAAAAAAATGCGTATTTTTTGTAACGACCCGACCTCGCGCCGGAGCCATCATCATATTGTACGTACTGTCAGCTTCGGGGATGGCCTAGGCCCATCTTCGCCCTCACGGATTTTGACGCGTCCCCCAGGATTCAAACTCAAGACCTCCATCATATGGGAGACTTAAGTTAAATCCTGGTACCAATTGGACAATTTTGTAACGACCCATCTTACCCCTCATGGCTTTCTGACGCATCGCCCAGGATTCGAACCCAAGACCTCCATCTTATGGGAGACTTAAGTTGAATCCTAATACCAATTGGAGTATATGATGGATGTCTTGGGTTGGAATCTTGGGGGATATGTCAGAAAGCCGTGAGGGGTAAAATGGGCCTAGGCCCTCTCAAAGCGAACAATACGTATGATTTGATGACGGCTCCGGCGCGAGGTCTGGTCGTTATAAAAAATGCTCATTTTTTTGGTAACAACCCAACCTCGCGCCGAAGCCATCATCATATCGTACGTACTATCCGCTTCGGGAGGACCTAGGCCCATCTTATCCCTCATGGCTTTCTAATGTGTCCCTAGGATTCGAACCCAAGATCTCCATCATATGGGAGACTTAAGTTGAATCTTGGAGGTCTTTGTTCGAATCTTGGGGAATGCATCAGAAAGTCGTTAGGGGTAAGATGGGCCTAGGCCCACCCGAAGTGGACATTACGTACGATATGATGATGGTTCCAGCGTGAGGTAGGGTCGTTACCAAAAAAATGCGCATTTTTTTGTAACGACCAGACCTCGCGCCGAAGCCGTCATCATATCGTACGTACTGTTCGCTTCGGGTGGGCCTAGGCCCATCTTACCCCTCACGGCTTTCCGACCCGTCGCCCATGATTTGAACCCAAAACCTCCATCATATGCGATATTTAAGTTGAATCCTAGTATCAATTGGGTAAGATGGGCCTAGGCCCTCCGTACATACGATATGATAACGGCTCAGGCATGAGGTCAGGTTGTTACAAAAAAAACATCTGTTTTTTTGTAATGACCCGACCTCGCATCAGAATCATTATCAGATCGTACGTACTATCCGCTTTGAGAAAAACTAGGCCCATCTTACCCCTCACGGCTTTCTGACCTTTCTCCTAAGATTCGAACCCAAGACTTCCATCATATGGAAGGCTTTAGTTGAATCATGTATGAATTGAGCAAGTTGCCCAATTGGTACTAGGATTCAACTTAAGTATCTCATATGATGGAGGTCTTAAGTTTGAATCCTGGGGACACCTCAAAAAGCCGTGAGGGGTAAGATGGGCATAGGCTCTCCCAAAGCAAACAATATGTACGATATGATAACGATCCCGGCGCGAGGTCAGGTCGTTACAAAATTATCTAATTGGTACCAGGATTCAACTTAAATCTCCCATATGATGGAGGTCTTGGGTTCAAATCCTGGGGGACGTGTCAAAAAGTACGTATGATATGATGACGGCTCCGGTGCGAGGTCGGGTCGGGTCGTTATAACGAACATGTCTCTGGGTAGATCTATTCATTGAAAGTAAAAAAAAAACTATATATTTAATCC